CGCTCCCTCTGTAACAACTTCCTACTCGCGTACGCAACAGGTAACTTCAAACCCTCCTCAATCTGCAGTAGTACCGCCCCTAATCCGGTATCAGATGCATCTGTCCTGAGGATGAAATCCTCATTAAGATCAGGAAGTTTTAGAATAGGTCTTGCTGTCAATGCCCTCTTCAAAGGTTCAAATGCCTTCTCCTGACTATCACCCCATTCCAATCTATTTGGGAACCCCTTCTTGTTCAACTCCGTTAAAGGTACTGCAATAGATGCAAAGTTTGCGATGAACTTCCGGTAAAACCCAGCTAAACCAAGGAATGATCTCAACTGTGTCTTTGTCTCAGGTCTCAGCGCTTGTTCAATTGCACTTATCTTCTCAGGTTGTGGTTCCAATCTCTGGTCACCGACAACATGCCCAGACATTCCAGTGATCGATATCCTATGAAACACTTTGTTGGTCGTGTTGACAATCCCGCCTTTCGTAGTCTCCGGAACAGACCTCTAAGAACATACATGTGATCTTCAAAGGAATGCGTGTAGATCAAAATGTCAACTACAAAACTATCGACATTTCGCAACCCATCTAGAACTTTCCTCATCAGTCTGCAAAATGTCGCTGGGGCGTTTACCAATATGCGATCGTGACATAAGGTAAATTCAGCATTAAGGGTAAATGCAACAACTGGTTAATCCGTTGCCAATATAATGTGACCGGGCAAAATACTGTAATTGGGGCCTCGGCATGGTGTCAGTGAGATAGCACTATATCGGCATCAAATATACCAACATGCCCAGTCTCCTACATACGGACAGGCAATCACGCATACACAATATACATGGAGGCACATCCTTAAATGACTTAAGCTGTTAATAGAATGTTAAACAAAATAAAACCAAAACTACTTAACCTTGTTTTCTTATATATGCAAGTACATCGGGATGACAACATCCCGTATTTATAAGGTCGAGTATAGCACACAACTTAGAGGGAGCGGAAGAACATGCATATAACCTGCAGGGACATCACGACGACACAGAAACCGAAGAGTCTAGGGAGCTACCTAAGCAACCATGTGATTGACATTTCAGAAGGCAATCCTACTAACATCAACAATTCAGACAAGCCACAACAGGCAGGAAAACACGACTATCGCACGTGTTCGAGGGGTTGATGATGCAAAGTGTGTAGCAAGGTAAAGTTAAAGTGTTTCGGACCATTAGAACTCTCAGAACGCACCGATTAAAGGCGAATAAAGGTGATAGGGTGTACAGGTAACTGGGATTGGGAAGGCCACCAGGTAAGAACTAATTGACTGTTTAACCAAGTAGAAATTATACTAAAGCGACATCACACAAGGTTTCGATACTATTAGATGTTACACGAGTGATACATAACTGATACCGGAAATAAGGAAGGAAACATGTATTTCCAAGTGAGCTAACTAAACGTAGATAACAACAACAGAAACATGTACTCCCAGGGAGCTAGCAAAACGTAGATAACAAATGAAACATGTACTCCCAAGGGAGCTAACAAAATGTAGATAACAATAACAGAAACATTTACTCCCAAGGGAGATAACAAAAGGTAGACTACAACACCAGAAACAAGTACTCCCAAGGGAGCTAACAAAACGTAGATTACATCAACAGAAACATGTACTCCCAAGGGAGATAACAAAACGTAGATTACAACAACAGAAACAAGCACTCCCAAGGGAGATAACAAAACGTAGATACCAACAACAGAAACATGTACTCCCAAGTGAGATAGCAATACGTAGATTACAACAACAGAAACATGTGCTCCTAAGGGAGCTAAAAAAGTGTAGATAACAACAACCGAAACATGTACTCCCAAGGGAGCGAACCAAAACGTAGATAGCAACAACAGAAACAAGAACTCCTAAGGGAGCTAACAAAACGTAGATAAAAACAACAGAAACAAGTTCTCCCAAGGGAGCTAACAAAACGTAGATAACAACAGAAACATGTACTCCCAAGGGAGCTAACAAAACGTAGATTAAAACAACAGAAACATGTACTCCCAAGGGAGATAACAAAACGTAGATAACAACAACAGAAACAAGTATTCCCAAGGGAGCTAACAAAACGTAGATAACAACAACAGAAACATGTACTCCCAAGGGAGCTAACAAAACGTAGATAACAGCAACGGAAACAAGTACTCCCAATGGAGCTAACAAAACGTAGATACATGCGACAACAACAGAAACATGTACTCCCAAGGGAGCTAACAAAACGTAGATAACAACAACAGATACATGTACTCCCAAGGAAGCTAACAAAACGTAGATAACAACAACAGAAACATGAACCCCCAAGGGAGCTAACAAAACGTAGATAACAACAACAGAAACATGTACTCCCAAGGGAGCTAATAAACGTAAATAACAACAACAGAAACAAGTACTCCCAAGGGAGCTAACAAAACGTAGATAACAACAACGGGAACATGTACTCCCAAGGGAGCTAACAAAACGTAAATAACAACAACAGAAACATGTACTCCCAAGGGAGCTCACAAAACGTAGATAACAACAACAGAAACAAGTACTCCCAAGGGAGCTAACAAAACGTAGATAACAACAACGGGAACATGTACTCCCAAGGGAGCTAACAAAACGTAAATAACAACAACAGAAACATGTACTCCCAAGGGAGCTAACAAAACGTATATACATATGTAACAACAACAGAAACATTTACTCCCAAGGGAGCTAACAAAACGTAGATAACAACAACATAAACAAGAGGCCCATGAGCCTTAATTGTCACCTGATATATTTATGCAGAGAGTTGATTTTGTTTTTAACATGAGCAGAAATATTATTCAAAGTGACAAAAAACAAAACCACCTTATATAATATCTAGCATCCAGATTTCAGACTAAAAAGTATTTGAAACTAGCACCTCTGATTCTAAACAAGGGAAATGAAGAAAGTTTAGCACACTGACTCCTTTGAGCCCCACCCTACAGCCCTTGGGGGTAGGGCTGGCTCAAACCTTTCAAAGTATCAAACTGCCAACTCAAGGTTATAATTCCAATCATGTTATTAACATGTAATATTCAAAGTATCCTTTGCCATTATAAACCATAATAAATTTTGCCCCTCCCCCAGGGGGTAAACGTGAGACCCTAGGGTCATAAACCTTAGGACCCTTCCATCTATGAAGAGTATTTGATTCTACCACATCTGGGTCTTGAGAAGATAATTTTTGAAATTTCAGTAAATTCGACCCTTTTTGGCCCCACATATCAGCCCCTGGGGGTCAGTCAGGGCTGATATGTGCTTATTATCAAACTGCTACCTAATACTGATAATGCTAACCCAAATTGAATTACTTCCAATGGAAATTAAACAAATGTTGGTCCAAAATGTGATTTACCGATATAAACTATAGTAAAGTGTACCCCCTCCCCAGGGGGGAAACATGAGACCCCAGGGTCAAGAAATTCACAATTTTGGGAAAGCACCTTAAGACCCTTCCATCTATGAAGAGTATTTGATTCTACCATATCTGGGTCTTGAGAAGAAGATTTTTTGAAATTTCAGTCAATTCAACACTTTTTTTGCACCACCCATCAGCCCCTGGGGGTCTGTCAGGGCTCATATGTGCATACTATCAAACTGCTACCTAATACTGATAATGCTAACCCAAATTGAATTACTTCCAATGGAAATTAAACAAATGTTGGTCCAAAATGTGATTTCCCTATATAAACTATAGTAAAGTTTACCCCCTCCCCAGGGGGAAACTTGAGACCCCAGGGTCAAGAAATTCACAATTTTGGTAAAGCACCTTAAGACCCTTCCATCTATGAAGAGTATTTGATTCTACCATATCTGGGTCTTGAGGAGAAGATTTTTGAAATTTTAGTCAATTTGACCCTTTTTGGCCCCGCCCCTCAGGCCCCTGGGAACTTGGGACTAAACCGGCAACTATTTTTGTTGACCTTTGTCCATGGAAGGTCCCTCAAAATTTCATTGAAATTGGTTCAGGAGTTTTGGAGAAGAAGTCGAAAAGGTAAATTGTTTACGGACGCACGACGGACGACGACGGACACAATGCGATCACAATAGGTCATTTGAGACTTTGTCTCAGGTGACCTAACGAGAACTCCCAATGGAGCTAACAAAACGTAGTTACATGTGACAACAACAGAAACATGTTCTCCCAAGGGAGCTAACAAAACGTAGATAACAACAACAGAAACATGTACATCCAAGGGAGCTAACAAAACGTAGATTACAACAACAGAAACAAGTACTCCCAAGGGAGCTAACAAAACGTAGATGACAACAGAAACATGTACTCCCAAGAGAGCTAACAAAACGTAGATAACAACAGAAACATGTACTCCCAAGAGAGCTAACAAAATGTAGATAACAACAACAGAAACATGTACTCCCAAGGGAGCTAACAAAATGTACATAACAACAACAGAAACAAGAATTCCTAAGGGAGCTAACAAAACGTAGATAACAACAACAGAAACATGTACTCCCAAGGGAGCTAACAAAACGTAGATAACAACAGAAACATGTACTTCCAAGGGAGATAACAAAACGTAGATAACAACAACAGAAACAAGTACTCCAAAGGTAGCTAACAAAACGTAGATAACAACAACAGAAGCATGTACTCCCAAGGGAGCTAACAAAACGTAAAAAAACAACAACGGAAACAAGTACTCCCAAGGGAGCTAACAAAATGTACATAACAACAACAGAAACAAGAACTCCTAAGGGAGCTAACAAAACGTAGATAACAACAACAGAAACATGTACTCCCAAGGGAGTTAACAAAACGTAGATAACAACAGAAACATGTACTCCCAAGGGAGATAACAAAACGTAGATAACAACAACAGAAACATGTACTCCCAAGGGAGCTAACAAAACGTAGATAACAACAATAGAAACATGTACTCCCAAGGGAGCTAACAAAACGTAGATAACAAGAGGCCCAAGAGGGCCTGAATCGCTCACCTGAATATTTAAGCAGTCATAGCAAAATATTCTCATTAAATATTATATTGCACTATAAATATTTCCCTCGCAAACTTTGTTGGCTCCATCTGTTGAAACTACCAGCAAAATATTATTATAAGATTCTATGCTTTTTGATTCTTCTTCAGAAGTTGCTTGACATATTTTTCCCTGTGATCTTGTAAGTAGGTCAATGTCATTTTCCTTCTCAAATTGGTTAGCTCTATTCCAAAAAGCTACCAGCCAAATCTTATGAATCCATTCCTTTTAGTTCTCAAGAACAAATCCATTAAAATGTTGTTGACCTCTGTGACCTCTAAAGTAGGTTGAGGTCATTTTCATTTGCAAACTTTGGTGAGCTCTATCC